GGAATAGTCTGTTGATTTCTTTCGCCTGATTAATTTTAATCTGGGGCCATGCTGTGAATAGCTTTAAAAGTCACAAGTAAAATCTTAAACTCAATGTGATACTTGATGGGAAGCCAGTGAAGCTGAGATAAGACTGGCGTTATATGGCAAAACCTAGGTTGCTTAAGAACAAGTCTTGTAGCTGTGTTTTAACTCTTTGCATCTTATTTATTTGTACCAGTGGCAATCCATAGAGTAAACTGTTACAGTAATCTAAGTGGCTGGAGACAAATGCATGGATTAGTGTCTGAGGAGTCATGTGATAGGTGTTTTCTTATCTGCCTAATCTTGTGGAGATAGTAAAGAAATGGATTACAAACTTTATTGATGTGGGAGTTCATTGACAGCTTGTCATCAATGTTCGAGCCAAGGTTCCTAACAACTGACTATTTCATTATATCAGAATTTCCCATGGTGATCAAAGAAATATTAACCTTAGATAACTATTGCCAGGTGCCAGTTACAAGAAATTCTGTCTTCTCATCATTGAGAAGTAGTTTGTCATGTTCCATCCGTGAGCGAATGTTGTTAATGGAAGTTATAGCATCTTGTTGACTTGACAAGTCATTGGGCTTGAGGACAAATTTATTTGTGAATCATCTGCATAACAGTGATAATTTGGAAGGTGACGTTCAATGATGTTAAGAGGTGGATTGACCGGCAGAAAAGTGAAATTGATCCACAAATAAAGATAATGGCTTTAAATTTTCACTGCCATGTTCATTGTGATTGAAGAAGAATATTTAAGAAAAGACACAAAAAAGAGTCTCGTATAGAAACACTACAAAATTGAACACCTGTATTTTTTTTAATCCATGTTTTTTTTTCTTTTTTTTTTTCGGTGAGGTGTCTATATGTTTGCAATTTCCAGCTCAACATGGGAAGTCATGTTAAACTAATGTTGCAGATTATTTTTTGTCAAAGCTTGTATGTTTGAGATGTATGTATTTGTGGAAGTACAGTGCTAACAGCACATCCTGTTCAGAGGTTAACAGGTTTCTAAATGCATAGCAAGTTGATTGTGCTTAGTTAACATCAAGCATATAGGCATGCAGAAAAACACATAAAAGTTTAAATAGGGTTGAATTATACATGATAGCAAACAAGATCTAACTCACCTATCTATCATGACCATGCATAGCTTGATGTAACATAAGCTAATGTGGACCTTCTGTAGTATTTTAAATGGTTACAAATTATACTATGAAAAAAAGTAATCAAGTGAATAAATACTGAATAGAGGATAATGATTTTTGTAATAAAAGTACTACAGATGCTTTTTTAAACTGTGACAGTTTAAAATAAATAAAAGTATAATTGTTTGTGTTTGTCACTGTGGAGCTGCATCAAAAAGATATTTTATTGATGGTGTTTGATATGTTATGCCAGGTTCACTTTAAAAGATGCAAAGGAAGATATGGGTTGCTCTTTACTGGTAAAGTAGGTTGAAATGCAAATTTGCATTACATTTATCCATTACCTTTCTATATGATGGTGTCTGTGTATTGGTTAGAGGAAGCTTAGAAGCAGTACTTGAAAGATCTAAAACTGGGTATAATGATAAATATACTCTCAAAAAGAATTTCTAGATTTCTTAATCAATTGTTAGCTAGTGTTGAGCACTGTGAGATCTTCCAAGAGCTCATGAAGTTAAAATAAGATTCACAGGATGAACTTTAACATGTTTCATTTACAATGGGTGATTCAATTCAACAATAGCCATAGACTTTTAAGGAAATAAATGTGAGCAATTAGCATTTGAAAGATTGTCATGTAAAGAGGTGGAGGTACCATTATAAATGCAATAAGTTTAAATTTGAAATGTTTGCTTCTAAGAATGCATATGTGCTAATTAGTGGAGCAATAGAGCAACTGGTTTTAATTACTAAGTAATAATTAGAGTACCTTTTGTGACTTAACTGTACTTTTACTGGCAATAGTTTGGGAGTGGAAATGCTATATTCTAACACCTTTATTGAGAAAAAAAAATACCACAAAGATTGTCATTCACCTAAAGAAATGACACTCTTAGTCTTGGGAGAGTGGCCATATCAGATCTTCTGCAAAGTAGACTTTCAGTGGCACTGAGGTAGACAAAAGGTGTTCCATAAACAAGGGACTGGAAACACTGTCTTTCCTCCAACAACATAAAAAATTATAAAAATGACAACTTTTAGCCTCACAGTTAAAATGTTTTATATCTGTTATATCATTGTAAGAACCAAAACAACAAACACAGATTGCATCTTTAGGAAATGCCTTTTGCTACTACAGAGATCTTTCAGAACCTAACATAAAGGTAATATTTTCACATTTTAAATGTAAAACAGACTGTAAACACTGTTGCATTAGCCCTAACCCATGTTTTGTAAAAGAGATCAAAAGAAATTATGAGAGGAGGTTTGAGGAAGTTCTTTTCATAATGGTCTTGTTATTGAATATACACCCCCATAAACTCAATAGCATTGAAAACCAAGAATAGTGTGAATCCTTATCTATAATTGAATCTATAATAGTAAGGAAATCACATCTACTGACTTAAGCTTGTGTGTGATCTTTCTCTAGTATTGTTCAAGCACTGTTAAATTTATTTCTGTCAGATTTCCAATAGTTTTATATACAGCAACAGGAAATCTTAAGTTTGTACATAGGGTTGTTTCCAGCTTAGAAGCCAGATATTTGATTAGGAGAAGGGGTACTGGACATGTACCTTTTTCCTTTTATCAGGAATTTCTCCAGATTGTGGTATGTTTTCTCTTGTGGTGGACTACTGTTGATATGACAAGGGCTGAGCAACTCTGTAAACAGATTTGCATTGGAATGGAGATTCCCTACTGATTAAAAGGTATCTTATGAAATAAAGTTTAACACCACTCAACAGCAAGAAATGTAAGCTTACACCTAGGAGCAAAAATAGCTTTGATAGAGCTTCCAAAATTGCATAAGCAATGGTTGATGTAGCTTCCAAACAGAAATGATTTCCTGAAACATGGTTTTCAACAGACAGGTGTGAAACCCACTAGAAATCTATACACATTATGCACTTCAGTCATACTGAGTACCTGTTACCTGAAGTCAAAGGTGTCAATAACCAAGTATCCTCCTTTGTCCACAGTCACAATGAAAGACTGTTCTAAATGGCCTACATTCATGGAAGGAGAGCTAATGGCAGTTAGTGCTTCAGTTGTTGCTCTATGTTTTTCTGAAGTAGTGCTTTATCATACTCTACCTTTGTCTTCGTCTAGCATTTCATAACAGTGGTGGGAATCCCATGTATGTACTCTGAGGGAATCCAGTTGACAAAGAGAGGCTTGGTATCAATCAGCCTTTGATGAGACTTCATAGACACTTGAGGCAGAGAAATGTGGCCTGTCGTAAATCAGCTCTATAGCTTGGGGGCTGTGTCAAATTTCAAAATCTGGACTATACTTTCCTTTTAATAACTTGGTTTGAAAGTAAAATGTGTCATGAATTTGTAAGCATCTTGGTCAGGATACACCCATATGTACACAAAAAAGAGTTGTGTAGCTATAAAAAAACAATTATTTACAGGGCAAGATCTACACAATATTCACCGATATTATGATGGAACCATATAGATGATGTTTCAGTGAGAAAGATTAGTGAAAAAGTAAACCAGATTCTTGTAGAATCAAATGCTGATTGGGTATCAATTTTGGTGATGGTGGATGGGTAACATTAACTATTAAAAGTGGCAAATAAATTACCTCTGTCAATCCTGGATGAAGGCTATAATGATTTCTCATCATGAATTGAGTGTAGGTTGATAGAGTACTTAAAAAAAAAGTGTATGCAAACTGATATCCCTGAATGATACAAAATGGTAGTAGTTATCAACTGCATTGCTATTATTGCAGAAATGTTATTAGCAACAAAAGTACAGCTAGTCCAGCACAATATTATACTACAGTATTTTCAAAATCTCAACCTCAGGTTTATTCTTTAGAATATGTATATTTTTGTATTCTGATTAAAAAAAAAAGATTGTATTTACAAAACTTTACTGATCGTAAGGCAGTTTCATTTACCCTATCACAAAATAGGTGCACATGTGGCAATTGTCAGGTCTTGGAAAGAGTGGAAGCTTACATATGCTACCAAGAAATTGAGGCAGTACAAAACAATAATATTGAAGCTGTCACTAGTGGTGAATACGAAGAGCAGCCACAATGTATCACACAGGACCCTGGGTTTCATGCAGTTTCCACTAATAGATGAGTGTTGCAGGTAGCCTGGTACCAGTACAAGCAGCAGTATAAAGCTGCCTATGATGGAAAGGAAGTGAAACTTTTCTCGCACATAGCATACAGGCTTACAGGCCACCAGAATACCGGCTGGTGTTGGGGTATTTTGGGGGAAAGAAATTTGAGTTGTGCTTCCTGCCTTTGCGGTTCTGTGTATCTGGAATTTTTATCCTCCATCAGCACCAGAGGAAGACTTTGTATTTGAGGGGGTTCATTATGCAGATGAGTGACTTTTTGCTGGCCTCAGTTATCAACATCAAACTTGATTAATCTGGAAAACAAAAAAATAGTATTTTTTTATTTGTACCAATTTACGTGTACCTGAAATGAATTGTAACTAGTCAAACCTATAATACTTATACCATAGATATTTTGACTTAACTAATTTTTTTTCTGTTTACATTTTGCAAATGTTTTCGTAGTTGAAGCCCCACTGTATGTATATTTTTTTGCTGAAGAACAGAGTATTAAGAGGACATAACTGCTGCAAATCCTTTTTACAGTTAATGTTGTTGGACGTAAACTAGTATTTTTGCCTATCAAGCAATGATGAAATTGCAGTGCTGATAGTGTGATCAATAATTATTTTGCCTGCAGTCACCTTCATCTTCTAATCAATGTCAATCTGTTTGATTGTCTTTTATAATGTATGCTGTAAATCAAGGGAACCACTTTCCGAGTGGTGGTATCACATGATTATCTGTTAAATCTTGAACAGCTATTAGCTATTAAATCTTCTTTTGGTGGTGCTGGTTCTGAAGCAATGTTAGGGGGAAGTACAACAGGTAGTGGTTCTGCAACAACATTAGTGGCCTCACACCACTCAAGAATGTGTGCAAGCAAGGCTGACAAAGACTGGTAAGATTTTTTTTTTACTTATGGGCTTCACAACCCATGTTTGCCTGACTTCACCAAAGCTTGTGGTCTTTCAGCATTGGCATTGTTGTCTAAGGCTGCAAGTTATGTCCTTGCAACCATGCCTTTGTATGAAAAATGTTCTTGTTTTGAACAGTATTTCAGCATCATGGAGTGGTACACCTCTATTTTACCAGTGTGGCAAAAATCTGCTAGCTTAGCTAGGTCTTTGAGAAGCAGGTGAACCTAGCTTAAGCCAACAGATGTTCTTTGCTTCTGATGATGGGATCTGCCTATGACCACATTGGTGAAATAAGGTGTTGCTAGTCCACTTGTGCTTGTTTATTACATGAAGTAACAAAGGTTTCCACTTCTCTCGCTAAAGGACCACACTGCCATCATAGGTTGCTGCACACCGCCAAAGTTGATTGTTAATTGTATCCATGGGATCGATTCCTCACAACCCTTCTGCTGTGCCTTGCTAGTTAATTTTTTCACCACCCACTTTGAAAGGTGTCAGACATCATATTGATGAATATTTCAACGCTAGAAACCTTCCTCCATGGTATTAGAGGAAGTGACCTCAGAAACCTGGACGACACTGAATGCCACTACTTTACCAGTGTCATCGTCTAGTGTGTAAGTGCCATACTTGGCATTGTGTCCAGGACTGTCACAACACCCATAACCATTTAAATTAGTGGCACTTTTGTTAACCAGCTCCTTCATTACCATTTGTTGTTCATTTTCCCATGCTTGATTTAAAACTGGAAAAAGAAACTACTGCTGGGTGTCATAGAAAACACTCTCACTGATAAATTCAGGTATGATGCTAACCGGCTTACACTTGCAAAAGTGTTACCTGTAAACAAAATTGAAGCTGCTAAGAGTAGTGCCTGTAGGTTTCTGTGCTGCTTGACCTACTTCAGTTTGAGATAATGCCAATGGGGATGGCTGTAAGTCTCGCCTCTCTATCCAGGAGCTCGATTAAGCAGTACAGAGATAATTTACACTGCCCATTCACACTACAATTCCGAGCATTGTGCAACACCTTGATGTTGTTGTTTGTTCTGATGGCCTGTTAGAAGGTGCCCCGGTTCTTCTTCATATATCTGATGAGCAACAAACTTTATATGTATATTTTTATATCAACCATTCATTCAAACCTCAACTAAATAGTGGCTAAAAATGCTTATAACATGTGTTACATGAGATATGCATCCATTCATTGTAAACTGTCCTAAACTCTAGACACGGGTAAATGAATAACCATAAAGTTCCTTCCTCCACATGGCTTCTGTTCGATGGAAAATGCAGCCCTGAAAAGTTACAGCTGTCAGCACTGTTCTGAATTCTGCCCACAGCACCTTTTTGAACTCCAAGGTAACTTGCTATATGATTGGCCTACTTGGAAGCAGTTTGATTATCTTCAGTATCTGGAAATTAATGTAATAAGATGGTCAGTTACATGAAACTTCAAAAAATGCTCAATTTTTCATACTAAAATGCTTGGTCTCCTCCAGTGGGTCACTTAAGTGTTTTAGTAAGGCTCACTTTATGGTGGTTTTTGAGTCAGTTTTAATACTAAGTTGCAGGACCAGTCGATTTGTTCCTCTGACTTAACAAGAGTGCGGTATGGGGAATGGCCAGATGCCAGTATGGCATATACAGTGCTGCCATCTGTTGCAGCTGTTACATCCCAAACCCCTTTTCACGTGGGCAAACAGAATAAGTGCAGTAAATACAGTACAAAGATCCAAGATGATTAGTGCAAATGTTTGTAAGTGTTTGTTGTAGCAAATAGCAATAATGGTAGTTACTCCAAAGCTGGCAAGGATCACCAAAATTTTTGGGTTCATTTACACCCATGCTATCGAATGTGAAATGGTAAGCTGGATGTGATGTGTAGTTCTGATTTTTTAACGCAAATAAACTCAAAAATAGAAAATCACCCCTCCTCCTGGAAGGCAGGGAGATGGTAATTTGTGTTCATTATGGTGGAACGTGAGTCTTTCTTGCTTTCTTGAGACTTTTCAGTTTTCACTTTGCTGACACCACAATTTAAGATACTTAAGTAATGATGCAGCCAGCAAGCTCATAGGGCTAAAACATGTGTTGTACTAATTGAATGACAAAGTTCTCAGCTGTTGTGTCATTTCATTGGAGGGCAAGGATTTGGTCAGCACCAAAGGGCTGTACTATGTTCAGTGTTAGATTAATTGTGTGATCCTTCTCTGCTGGAGAAGATACACATGCCGCAATTCCAGTAAGGGGTGTGTTTCCAATAACTTGGGAAGTAACTGGAAACTGAACTGGATCTGGCGAATGAGTCTCCAGGTGCCACAAAGAATGGCAGTTAGGGTGTCTGTCCGCTTAAGGATTTTTCCAAGGGCTTCTTGGATGGTTTCGGCATTGTCCCTGGCAACAGGCTGGTTGGTGCTGGGTAATGAAGTTTGCATTGACTTAGCAATATCCAACGGACTACAGGAAACAGCTGTCTTGTGTGTTGGTATAGGAGAGTTGACAAACATAGGTTGATTTACCAGAGGACAGAAAACTTGGCTTATATTCCCTAGGCTGGCTCAAAGTGCATTGGCAAATGGCAATGACAGATTCGGACTTAGGCATACATAGTGTATGAATTAGAAGTAACTTTAGAAAAATTGCTAAAGGAAATTACTGTATTAAATAACCAGTTTTTGACAAGAAATCAAAGTTCATGATGAAGCTAATTTCATCACTTTACTGACAAGACTTCATACACAGTGTCATCATATTGGATTACAATTTCTCTGTTTGGTTTTGAAATTGTATTATTATGAAAATGCACCAGATTTGTACATATTTATCTATTGTACCAATTTAAACTAATAGCACAAAAATTTTGAAAAAAATTAATATGATGTAAACAATCATTGTATTGAGAATAGCAATAACAAGTTAATATCTATCTTGATGGTGTTCTTAAATTCATTACTGTACCGACAATATTTTAAACTCAATGTCATACTGGATAAACTTTCTCTGTTTGCTTGGAAAATTGTGAGCTTGACATCATTTGGTATTGCTGCTGCATCCATCTTGATGTTGTTTGTAATTTCATTACTGTAAATGTAACATCTTGATGTGAACTCTTCTTCAGAGGTGGATTCACCTGTGGAAAAGTGAAACTGATCCTCAAACAAATTAAATGGGAATCATGTAAACTATGCCATCTTGTTTAGCCAGGTGGACAGTGTCTTTGGTTGTACTAACTGAGATCTTAGCTTAGTCTCCAACTTGAGAATAATGCATACACCTTGTTGTTGTAAGCAGCGGCAAAGCTGTTCGAAGAGACCTTTGACATAAGGTAAAACTGCAGTAGCTTTGAACTTGTTGGCGGGTTTGGCATTGTTGTAGGGTTTTCTGGTCTTGTTAAGTTTCTGCAAGAAAGAAAAAGGATAACCATTAGAAACCAGAACAGATGAGAGATGTTTTTTCTCCTCGGAGATGATGGAGGGTTTTCTTACGAGATGTTTGGCGTGCTTGTAAAGGCACTTAACAATACTGTGCTTTACTGATTGAGGGTGGTGTGAACCATGCACTTAGTATTGATTGGTGTGCGCGGGCTTCCTGTATACCTGGGTGGTGAGGTGGCCGTCAGGTTCTCTTAAAACTGTGGTGTCTAGGAAGGTCAGTTTGTTGTCTTTCTCTGTCTCCATGGTGAAGCAGGTGAAAGGGTGCTGGTTGTGTTGTTGTAAGAAGTCATCTACATTTTCGCAATCCAGGATGGTAAAGGTATCGTCCACGTAGCATTTCCAGATCCTAGGCTTGTAGGATGATGTAGTTATAGCCTCTTCTTCGAAACTCTCAGCAAACTGTTAGCAATAACAGCGGAAACCGGACTCCCTATGGCGGCGCTGTCTTTTGCTTGTAAATCAATCCGTTATACTGGTGGTATGTGGATCTCAATGTGAGTGTCAGAAGGTCAGCGATTTGTGCAGGCATTAGCGTGGTGTGGTCTACAAGGCTTGGGTTGTTCTAGAATTTCTGCTGTGCGGCTTGTACAGTGGCATTGAGAGGAACGTTGGTTAGCAGTAATTCTGTGTTGAAAGATACCATTATCTCGTTTTCTAGGATCGTTTTATTGCTGATGGTGAATACGAACTCTGACTTTCCTGTGAAAGGAGACAAGATGTTAGCTAAGTATGCAGATAAATCGTATGCAAAGGTGTTTACGCACAACACAATAGGTCTTAGTGGTACATCGGTCTTATGGATCTTTGGTAAACCGTAGATTCTATGCAGCTGTTTGTGTTAGGGTCTGATCTTGTAAATGGCCTTGGATAGATACCCACTTTACTTCAAGGTAAGCAGCTTTTTCGGACAACTTGTGGGTCAAACGGTCTGTTGAATCTTTGTTGAGGAGTTGGTACGGTCTGTTCTCAATAAGCGTAGACACCGTAGCTTGGTAGGTGTCAGTATCCATGACTACACTAGGGTGCCCTTTGTCGGCTGGGAGAACCATGATGGTTCTTCTTTCAGGCTTTTAAGTGCATCTCACATCTCCTTTGTGATGTTAGGCTCTGTTAGTTCTGCCTGTTGAAGGATACCGTGAACAGCTCTTCTGACAGTATCTGCTTGTTTGGTGTTGAGTTGTCTAATGGGTGCTTCGACAAGGATCGAAATGCAATTTCTCAGCAAGAATGTGGTCTCTCAGCAAGGATCGAAAGGCACCAATTAGAACTGTTGAAAAAAAAACAACAACAACTAACCACATCAGAGCATCATGCTTTATAAGATCATGCATGACCAGTCGACCTCATCGCCTGAAGAAGAAGTATGCAGTCAAAATGTCACATGTGATTACATCATGAGACAAACGAAAAACTTAGCTTTTATTGTTATTCACCAGGATGGATAACCACAATCTTTTATTTGTAAGTGTTGAAATTAATTATGCAATTGCCATACTAGCAGTTTGGCATAATTATTTAAACTGAGTGCATTTGGTCTGAAGCTGTAATACTTACCTGCACTTTACCATTGGCCATGGAGCTACTATGGGCATTATGAACATCAGAAGCTTCTCTTGAAAGAAATGAACTACTAAGAAAGTCCAAACAGGCACATTTCTCTGAGGCTGAGCTGTTTTGCTGGCTAAAATGCAGAATTTGATGGGCAAAAATGTATTTTAGCCCACTGAAATAAACCAATAAAAAGTGAGAATCAAAGAATCATACAAATGTAGGCACCTAATCAAAATCGAGGTGCCATTACAATGTTCTTGCCATTTCTTGTCGTGTTGGTGAAAGAAATTACGGGTGATGCAAATACAAAAACATCTGAGAAGGATAGATATTTCAGAGTTAGAGGTGTGTTATGGTATAATCTAACCGACAGAAAAACACTACAATTCCACACTCTCAACTACTTTATCAAACAGAAAGTAATGTTCTTAACAAGGAATGACTCCTAAAAGCAGTACAGTAATTATAGTTATTAAAACCTAATTAAGCCCAACACAGTCTATATCCTAGCTCACCACCGACACAATCACACTGCTGTCTCCAAAGTTCCTTGAAATGAGCAATCTCTCGGTATAGCTTTCAAACCAGTCGTGGCTCTAACAACAACAACAACAACAACTACCACTACTGCGTCAGTATATGGAGGTCAGCCTGACTCAGCGGTCTGGAGATTTCTAGAAGCAACGACAATTACCCATAACAGGTAGAGCTTCTCTAAAAAGTTTTTGGTTTTTGAAGTGAAAACTTTCATCAGCTTTTTGTCAAATTGCAATCCGCAGCTTTTCGAAACTTGTCATTTGATCATCACACGTAAGCCCCTGTTTTCAAAAAATGGCTAGTACATGAAATTGACAATGAACACTGCTGTTTGTTAATTATCCCACCACCTCTGGCTAACTTTGAGCTTAAAGACCTCTTCAACGTTGAACAATGGCAACTTTAACCCGAGCACTTATTTCAGACTTTAATTTCGTATGTAAGCTTACTATGCTGCATTTTTATTGGGCCAAGTTAACCCATGTAAAGTGCGAAATATCTCCCTCACCTTCACTGTTTTCATTTATGACAGATTTGTCTGAACTTGTTTGGTCCACTGCAGTCATGAGCAGCTATCTATAACCTATATTCCATTTACTAACATTTTGCGTGTTGACAAGGCCTATGCTCCATACTTCAACAATGTCATTCACAATATCACGCCTTTGAGTAAAATCCCTATCTATAGGTTTGTGTAATTCCCCTCCTGTGACGGTGTGTTAGGACATTAATATACCAAAGGTTCCAAACCTCGATATTTTATTACAATAAATAACGGATGAAGGTTATGACAAAAACCATGGATATGGATCGGAGATTCGAAATCTGTAAAGTAATGCGTTAACAAATTAGTTTCAGTTCATATCGATAATATCAAAAGAAATCAAGATAAATATTTACCCATTGGTTCTAGGTGTCCATAACACTGTCTAGCGATAGAAAATCTTAACAATTATATCTGTTACGTCATCAAATTATAATGCGCAAAGAAATTAGAATTTTGCGCAATACACCTCCTAGATGTTGTTGTTAACTCATTTCTTTACTCTATGGCTTTTTCCATTTTTCGAAACACCAAGACAATGTTTCTGTTTATTATGTTTCATGCCAATGAATGTCCCGACTGTCTTTCATTATAGAGAACTGCATCAAAAGCTTTGACCATTTTTGACGTGCTTCATTTTGCACTTTTTGTCATCTTTGCTTACAGAATAGTCAACGTCATGCTGCATATAAATGGCATCTGCTTTTCCAGTTGGTTGGTCAGAAATCTCATATTTGATCAGTGTTTTTGTCATATTTCAACTGTTTGTCAAGTGGGTGGTACAGTCCTGTGTATTTATGCTTGAATATGGAGGGTAGCTGCCTAGGATTCTGGTGGTATGAACTAAGCAGAAAACAGGAAAGCAAGGTTACAACTTCTCACTCACGTGTTGTGGTTTAGGCGTTCTGTAACTCTACTGAAGTAAGTTTGCAGTTTTTCTTCCATCCATTCGTGGATAAGGTGAACCGCCTCTAAAAGAGATACTTGTGAATTATACTGTTCTTGAAAACAAACTGATTCACTTGATGTACTTTCTGACATAATTTCTCAACAAGGGTCTCACCAGGGGTCATTTTATGAAGTTATTAAATGGTTATTAGACTTACCATCAAGTTCTGATCCATTGGACTCTAGAGAGGAAAGTGATGGTGATGATGAAGATGACAATGATGACATTTTTACAAACAAAACAGAATTCATAAGAAATATGGTTTCGATCTGACTATGGAAAATACATCAATTCAGGAATAAATAAGATCAAGAATAAACTACTTAAGTGGGAAAAGAAAGAGTAAAGACAATGTTTGAAAAGATGTTTATATGATAGAGAAGCAAAGTCTTAGTAAATATATGGAAAGAAAAAAAAATTAGGTGAAGGAATCAGAAAATACAAGCAACCAAAAAGAAATGCATACAACATTAACTATGGACAGTATGGTGGTCTTTTAATAATGTTTCATTGTTGATGATTGAGATGATTGTGGAAGCTCATAAAAGGGGAAAGGTTGTTGTTTTTTATTTCTCATAAAATGTAAATGCATTTTATGATCATTTAATGTTTGGTAAGTTTTAAATTGGCTATCACAATGATCACACTTGATTCTTACGTCTTTCATGAAATCATTAATTTTTTCCTCAGGGCATGGTGATGAATCCTACTATCTAATTGGTTCTTTACATGGTCTTTGCATGCCCACAGGCAACAGTAACGCTTTTGTGAGTCACTGAGTACATTTGTACCTTCATTGCCATTTTTCATGTAACTCGTTTTTGCGGCTGGGCAGTATTTTTAAGCAAAGACATTGGTCACTACTTCAAGCCGAAAAAGAAGTTATTTATCCTCTATTTTCTCTCCCTGAAATTGCTTTCTTTGACAGAAAAAAATGTTGGTTTCAAAATGAATTTGTATATGCAAAAGTGTCATTACGTTGGTTGAAAAGTGGCCCGAAAACTGTCTGTGATAAATTTTAATCATTTTTAAAAAGTACCTATTAAGTTAAAACGTGAGGTATATGGTTAAAATTGCACTAACCGATGTAACTTTCATTAATTTAATATCTGAATTCTTTCAAACAATTTGTTCATGATGAAAGGGTGAGTGAAGTTTTGAGTTCTACAACAAATATACGCCTCGGTGAGTCTTTCCAAGTCAAGAAAATACAAGCAACCAAAAAGAAATGCATACAAGATTAACAGTGGACAGTATAGTTGTCTTTTAATAATGTTCCATGGCAGGCAATTAAGCCCACCATGGTCTACAGGGTTTTCAAAATGAAAAAAAGTATCAGGAGGAAATTTTAAAATAGCCGGAGCACCACTGCGCCGCGACAGCGGCGCCGGGCGGCAAAGCCGCCCGTGGGGAGGGTGCGGGAGGGGGTTTCCCCCTCCTGCAGGGGGGGTATGGGGGGCCTCCCCCAGAAAATTTTGAAAATCTGCATGCTCTGAGGTGCATTCTGGTGCATTTTCAGGACCAAAAAGTTATTTTTTAGGTCGTTGTACACTTTATTATAACCTAGAGTTTTTCTTAAATCTGACTCATTATCAAGAGTTTCTTGAAAATTATGTTTACTCATACATATTACAATGCTTTCCTTCCAGTCCCATGTTACATATTACAATTTACATCTAAATAAAAATTGACCTCTTTCCCTTGTCAGTACTTCATTGACCTGTTATAACATGAATCAACTTTTGAAATAATTATTTTTGCAGTCAGAGTTTTCCTACAGATTGAAAATACAGATGAACAGTTTCGTTATGGCATCCAAGCACTCAGGCTCGATTCTTTTTAGTTAAAAGTCACTGTCACTGAAATCACTTTCCCCCATTGCACTGTCCCTGTCACTGTCGTCACAACTTGGATCATCTTGAAAATTTGCTAAGCCAAGTTTAATGAGGGCCTGCTCTTCCTCTTGCAACGCTTGTTGTTCTTCTTGACTCTGACGATCTTCAACTTGTGGGTCTGTCTGTGTTGATACACTTGTTAATTCTGGTGGTGCAGGTTCTTTGCCCTTGCTTTCTCTTGAGGCTGACTTCCCTTTGGCCAAATTGTAGCGTTTTCCAGAGAGCCATTTCTCAGTGGTCTTCTTCACCAGGGTGTCACATTCTGAAGAATTTGCCTCTGGACCATTCATAGAGATATTAACAAGGGCCTCCAGCATCTCATTGGTCAGCCTGCTCCTGAGCCTTGACTTTATAAGCTTAACTCGACTGACTCCCCTTTCAGGCCATGCGTTGCTTATGGGCATCGTGAGAGCTATTTCTACAATGTGCATGAGGAGAGGGAGAAGAGAAAGGAAAGAAGATCTTTGTTTCATTAGCTGGGACATGCACCACTCTGCTGGCATGGTAGTCTTGCCTTCTTTTACATCAGCTGGAATGGCCATCTCCTTCATGTGGTACTTTAATATATTCCACTCTGCCAAAAGTCGGTCTTGTTGGTCGGGGAAGTAGTGCTTGGCAAGAACTTGGATAGAATCTACTCCGTAAGAGGGAAGTTCTGAAGAGCTTGCAGGAATAAGAGTTGGATCAAAGATGGAGAGCGCTCCCAGAAGAGGGAGGGTGTTCTGAAACCTCAGGTCGATGTTTTCCTTCAAAGCAGAGACATACTTGAGCAACAAATTTCGCATGGATGCAAGCTGATGCTCAGAAGGGGAAAACTGCAGCAGCACCATCTTTCCTTCCTTGATATCTTGGCAAAATTGCTTGATGGGGACTTCTTTGGTTGCCACTTCATCCAGCGCTGTTTTAGCACGAACAATTTCTGGTTTAAGGTGACTGAAATTGACAGTAGAATGCTGAAACGATTTTGACAGGTTGTCAAGAACAGGAAGCACATGCTTTAAAACATACAAGCAAGCCAGGAAGCGGACGTTGTTCATTTGAACTAACAGGCCCTGGCATGTGGGGTCCTCATCTTTCATCCTGATAAGGAACTGGATGATGGCAGAGAAGCTCTCCCAAGCGGATTGAACGGCAGCGTTAAATGACAGCCATCGTGTCTGACAGGCCTTCTTCAGCTTCTTAGCTATCTTCTTCTGCGAATTCTTGTTTGAGAGAGTTATTTCACTCACCTCAAGTTGAACTTTCAGGAAAATGGCTGTCTTCTTGTTCGAGTTGTCAAGGAGTTGCCAAAGGGTGTTTAGTGTGTTCTGCATCTTCTTTATTGTGGCAAGATCGTTTAAAGTGTCGGTACACGCCAGCACTAGTTTGTGACAAACACAGTGGACAGATATTAACGACTGGATTCTTTCATCTGCTTTCAGCCTGGTAGCTACACCTGACCTTTCTCCCACCATGACACTTGCTCCATCTGACACAAAGCTTTTAAACCAGTCAAAATTGAGACTGTGTTTCTCAATGACTTCCAGAAGGATGCTTGTGATGGTTAAAGAATCTGCTGCGTCAGAGCTGGCGAGAACATTTTCCAAACACAAAAATTTCACCTCAACCTTTTCGCTACCCCTGTTATAATACTGGATGAAACCAATCATTTGCTCCAAATTTGCAATGTCAGTCATGTCATCAACCATCACCCCAAATGGCCCAGTTACAGCAGAAATGACTTCATTTTGAATCATTTCACCAAGAAGAAGCAACATGTTGCGAAAGGAACCTACTGATGTGTGATTAAAGCCACTCATATCACACCCCAGCTTCGCAACCAACTTTAACAGACTCTTAACCTTGACATTTGCTATATCCTCCTTTGCCAACCAGTAAAGGCAATAGAAAACTCTTTCATACACATCAACCTGAACTTCAGCATTATGATCGAGCTCTTTCTGGAAAACTGAGAACCTGTTCATAAGAATGGCAGTGATTGCATCTTTGTGTCTCTTTGTTGCAATGTGCTCCTCGAGGCAATCTTTCTTTAACCTTGTGCTTGGTTCTGCAGAAAAAAATTCCTTTTTGTTTTGGGGATTCTTGGAATCAAACTTCTTGCAGATCAGACAGTATTGACCTTCTCCTTCGATGTAAACGAGCCACCACATCTGTACTTTAGGGCTATAGGCCAAATCCTTATTAAAGATAAGGCTGTGATTAAACATCTGCTTCTTTTTGGTTGTTTTGATGCGTGCTCTTTCTTCTTGAGACACACCCAAGCAGTCACGCTTTTTGCAGAGAATGTAGTGATGAATTTTCTTCGTCTGCTGTTCTTCAGTGAAACTGTTCGTGATATCACTCTCTGACTGTATACACACAGTATCTGTGGGAGGAAAATACATGTAAGATTCTTTACCTTTTTTCTTCAGTGTGTGATGCAAACCACCAACTAGAGAAGGCTACTCTCAAAAAAAGAAAGAAATATCACGAATTGTAATAAAAAGTTCGTTTACCTTCAGCGTGGTTGGTAGGGGCTGCGGTCACAGAGATTTCTTGGCAGTCGCGTAACACATTGACGGGCAAACTTTCGGCATCTTCGAAGTTTAAGGACGTACTAGGCGTTGCAGAAGACCCTTCCGTGTCTGGTGCATCTAACGAAAGCAGTGAGAATATGTATCGATGTTGACAATGTGTACCATTTATCCCCCATGACCAACGCGTTAAATAAACCAAGCATAGTTATTTCGCGCTCACGTATATGACCTCACGTATACAAAATTTGAGTTAAAGGCGGAGATTAAATTTTATTTTTTAGCGCGACATACAAGCTCCATAAATAATGCATTGTTAGCCAAAATTTCAATCGATTAGATAAATCAATTTTATTCCGCGGGCACAACTGTTTTAACTGTTTTTTTTAGTTATCAGAAGAACAATGCTTTGCTAAACAATCAATTTCAGTAAAACTCATATATGTTAAGCGAGCCGTAACATGTGGCGCGACTTATGTCGCGACTAGTCTGGCTGTGTCGGCTTCGTATAAAATTAATTTTCCATAAAGAACTGTAAAACATTCAGTTTCACCCGCTTTACTGATTATGAAGACTTGAAATGAAACTTTAAGTCTCACAAAAATCTTAAAATGCCTGGCTTATATAAAAAGTTAAATGTGACCAAATTTGTGTCGGCATAAAATTTATTTAATCGCCAGAGTCTGCCAGTTCATTCTCGAAACGGCGCCTCACGAAACCAAGCGTTGAATAAATAAAAGCATCCCTTATAAATCGCCTTGTTGACAATAAATAATTCAACCTAAGCGATACAATATTGTTTTCAAGCAATGTTTCATTCATAACATGCACCAATACTTATTTTCTGATGGACTGGGGATTGTAAACAGGAACCCGGCGAACATTTGCATTTTAAAAAGTGTTTCATACCTGCAATCTCCTTTCTTTGCTGTTTGAACCCAAACTGGGTTAAAAGCGGCTGTGATTTCTGCCTTTTCATCCGGTGACTGGGACCGTTTTCTTAAAGAAAGCGCCAAGTACAAAGCTCTCACGAATTCACAAACAGATTCAAACACGCGATGTGGAGAAGAAGACGATTTCATAATTCGCTTACGCAAGAAAAAACTAGTCACGAAATAGCAGGATCAAATGTCGGTCTTTCGTGGGAAAACGCAAATGGTTTCCAGTCCAAGTTGAATGCTGTTGAATAAAAGAGTTACGATTTCTGATGCTGGAACGCGATCAGTGGGCAAGAACAAAATATGATATCCTTAACTTTAACCCATAGGAATCGGAACTTTATGTTTTTTTAATTTTTTTTTTTAATTTTGACTTCCAAAAGTACCCGGCGCTAACGCTCGAAGTAGCCGGTGACTTGCGTCGGGCGCCGGTTACTTTTGAAAACACTGGGTCTATATCCTAGCTCATCACTGACACAATCTCACTGCTGTCGCCAAAGTTCCTTGACGTGAGCAATCTTCCTCAGTAACTCTCTCTTAGTATAGCTTTTGAAACAGTTGTTGCACCAATAACAACAACTACAACTACTGCTATGTAAGTGAGTCTTTACATATATTCACAAAGTGTTCTGGATCATTCCAGAAGCTTATATAAGAACTGTTTTAGTAGCACTACATAATTAATGCATGACTTGACGAAATGTTCTGGAAAGTTCTCTGGTATGCGAGTCAGCATGACTAAGCAGTCTGGAGATTTCTAGAAGCTTATATTTACAACAATCACTCATAACAGTAACAATAACTTGCAACTGAGAAATGAGGTGTGGCAGATACTCGATGAATTGTTGAAACTGTCTGTCATAATCAAAGCACATAATAATAAATATTAAAATAATTTTTAAAATTTCTATGCAAATATTGGTATAAAATTTTCATTTGCGCACTATGATATCCTTATTTATTTATATACAAGTTAAAAATTCTACATATAAAACTAAACTTACGTTAAAAATTAAATCATAGCTACAATAAAATGATGAAATAATAATCGAATCTACAAATCACAACTTTCATGTTAAAAAAACACCTGAATAAGTGAATATTAAGTTTCTTTTTAAATTGGGGAATGTCATTGGTGTTTCTTATATTCTCTGGTAGGGCACTCCAGAGTCTCAGGGAAGCCAAACTAAAAGACCTATCACCAAGCATGGTAAGCAAATGTATTGAACAACGATGAATTCTTTATGGTATTTCACAGGGAGCCGATGCAATTCTCTAAGTAATGGTGTGACATAAGAATGTTTTTCTTCTCGAAAAATTACCCTAGTAACAGCAGTTTAAACACGTAATTTGTTAATTTGATAACTAGGAGAGTCATAACAAACTATGAAAATAATCTTGGTGGCTTGATATGAATGCATGAATTAGAGTTCTGTAGATTGCTGTGACAAATATTTGCGAATTCTCCTGATATTATACAAATAACAGAACACTGCTGAGCTGACTCTAGTAATGTGCTCATCTATGGACAAATTAAAGTCAAACCAGAGACTTTGACACGATATTCTCAGCCTGAACTCTTACACTACTAACATTAATCTTAGCAAGTTGTAAGTTGACCTGTCCTAATCAACAAAAAACTGGTTTTATCTTCACTCATGAGGAGCCTATTACTGAGCATCCAGTTTCTGACAGCTTTGATGCAGAGTTCCATAGCTGTAGTAGCTTGCATCTGGCCTGTCTCATCTATGGGCTGAAGGAAACATAAAGCTGAGTGTCATCAGCACAACAATGAACTGATGTAGATGTTCATGGATGACACTCAGTAGAAAGCTTGCATAAATGGTAAAGAGGAGGGGTCCCAAAGAAGACTCTTGAGGCACACCACTACTCAATTCAAGCCTGTCGCACTGGCAACCCCATACAGACACTCCCAGTCAGAATTGATTGAAACATATATTTTTGTCTTTTCATAAACACTGTGGTGTTGTTTCTATTGATAAGAATCTATTCTTTGTTAAAGTTGTCAAGAAAAAAAACTACCAATGCTGCTCTAACTTCTATTAAATAATTTCCTCAGTATCTGTATTACATATTTTGAACATAAACACAGTTTTCTCTTTCCAATCAAATATTCCAACATGATCAATCCTAACACATTATTCCCTAATATTATCAATAACAAAACGTTGTTGACTTGAAATGTCCACTAAGTCTGAAAAAATTAGCGAAAACAATGTCCTGGCAGTGGCGTAATCAATCAGCATGTGATACATTTTGTTTCTTGACGAAAACATTTTCCATGGTACTCTTTCATGTGAAAGATTATGCTACTCATAGTTGGATGCATAGTCTGAGTCACTCTCAACACTAGAGTCATCTGGACACAAATTCAAGCTTCTTAGTGTGTCTTCTGGTACAGCAGTATCTGGTAGCTCTTCAGTTGATGCCTTAGA